CGGACGTGTCTTGTTAGGTTCATTCAGACTGTATCGATATGATTGACTAACTTGTTTAATCACGCATTCGCTCAGAGAATCTAGCAGATGAAACTCAGATCTAAAGGTGGTCTTATCATGGTAAGCTACTCGTCGACGTCTTTTTTTTAGGCGTATGCACGTATGACTCTTCTTCACGCCGATCCGTTACAGCTGAGAGCAACGCGTAAGCCTTGTGGGACACCGACGTTTTTGTTCCTAGGCGTAACTTTTCCGTCCGTTCGACAGTGCAAATAAACGGGTCCAGTAGCCACGAAAGTTCATTATAACTGAAATGCGCTTTATATCGCCATGCGTATGTATTTCTAAGCCATTATTTCTGTCGGTAATTAGGGGACAATTTTTGTCACAATTGGATGGCTTTGGGTTCGTCTAAAATCTAGGTAAAATCTTAAAAAAAAAAAGGTCAAATCACACATTTTTGGCAATCAACTTATGTAAGGTACATCACCATACAAAATATGATTTTGGCTGACATTCGCTATTTCAACGGTACCCATGTTTGAGATTTCCGGTAAAAAACTGACAAAGAAACTCATGCATTATGGACTAATGAGGGCTGACGTCTTAGTGAAATGATCAACCTTAATCATAGAGGTAGGAGCTTCCTAAGATGTTCCCCCAGAACACAATACAGAATAGAGCTAATATAGCAAAATGAAAAAGAATCATTAAAAAAGAAAAGAGCCTTCTTTTTTGTATATAATAGAGAGCTTTGAAGACATCTTGAAGACAAAGAAAACCTCGTTATATAGCATTAGTGTGGAAAAGCTTTCATGCGAAAATCAAGCACAAGCGACCCTGCACTAACCACGATCAAATAAAAGAGCGGAATTTCCACGGCGCTATTTCCGTAGCGTGGGACCACGTCTGAACTTATTCTTTTTAACAAAGTACATATGTCTGTTGGGCATAAGCAACATCTTATCAAATGTAAGCCGTTTGATGGCGACGCTGGGCTGGAGCACCGGTCTGTAATAGAACAAGGGAGCGACTGCTATACCGAGAAAGGACAAAAGAACTTGTAGACCCGACCTTTTCTCCCGTTTCTCTGCCTGGCGTCGCTTATCCTTCACCGTTCGGTATTTTACCTATAAATCGGCATGAAGCTATGCGTCAATACGATTTTGTCTGTAGCTCCGTCCGATCGAAAAAGATGGCACTGGAGCAGGCAACAACCTAGAGAAAAGCCGCCACTGCACGAGCCTGACAGGGCAAGAAAAAATCAACGTAGCCGATGGCAGCTAGGAGCACATGTGACGTATCTCGCCAGACGGCAGTCTTTGTGTCCATATATGTGTGTGCTATTGCGCCGTGTAGTTTAGCTAGGTTTGTGTCTACGAGCGACGACGCGCCATCTCTTGATAGAGGAACCTGCCATTTCACTCGGCAGTCAACTCAAGCGGCGGCCAGAAAGCTACGCGAGCCGTCTGTATGCCGCTGGGTGGCACGGTACCAACCCTTGTCTATATGCGATAATAGTTGATCGACGATGTGACATCAAAAGAGCATAAAGAAGTACACATAGAACGTAGTAGATAGTATTCGTTCGAGCACGTTGAGGGGGATATTGATTGGTATAGCTCGAATCGATCATTCGAGGGGAGCTCACCAAAGTAAGGTTGCGATATTGAACACACACGCAAGAAGTAGAAGAGAGATATGTAATAATATGTCAGTCTGACGTGTTTATTGATCATTGAGTTGTACGCAAGTATATGCCTTTGTAGTGATAGTGCCTCGCCCTAGGAAATAAAAAGCAGAAGAAAGAAGAACTCATAATGTCGATCAGTTCGCTGTCAGGTGGCTCTTATATTTACAAGCAGATTATGTAATTTTCGACTCCTTTATTAGCTCGAAAAGTTGCGTTGTATTTGACAGGTGCAAATAGATAGATTTATCTTTGAGAAACTTTATTTTTTAGTTATTCTCTATCTTTGCGTAGAATAGTTAAAGGATTGGTATATGAGGGACACAGTCTTAATTTATAAGAATCATTTTTTTACATAGGGGACGTCCTAGTGTGTGGAAATTACGTTCAACTGTCGAGAAATTATTGACCGTTTTTTAGCTAAAATTTGAGCAAGCATTTCTTATATTTTGAAATTATATCACTAAAGTAAGATGTACCATCCTCTGCCATGTTTCTAGTAACATCATAGTTCCTCCTACTGTATAAGGTTCTGCGCAGAGAGAAACAAGATCTTTTAGCAAAGATATTTAGCGGATGTATTGAAATTTTATATTTTAGATCTTTCAATAACTATGTGGTACGGCATTTCCGTGACGGAAAACGGCATCTTTCCTGTTTACTATTTCCGATCGACTTGTTAGTTGTTTGTTGTCGGTAGTGGTCGAAATCAATCGTTTGACCAAACATTGTCATCTTTTTTGGCATTAGCCTGGGCCTTTTTACGAATAATAAAGCACATATTGCACGGTATAAATTGTGTGTGATTCTTTTTTACCATCCCATGATCGACTGGTTTAAAAATGGTTCCATTTTATTGTGTTTCTGTAGAATTTCGCAGGCGAAAATATTGTCGACTAAATTTACTAAATTTTCTAGTTAGCTTTTTACAAATGGTCTAAAACTGCTTAATGGTGCATGCTTAGTTCTGTAAATATATTACGGCTACTTACGTATCGCTCGTGCTAATCTTTCCCAGTACTGTATAATCAAGTTCTTTTTCCATAATTAGTGGACTACTACGATGAACATCTTTTACGCTGATTTCATGGATTTAAGATGACCATTTTTCCGATATCGCATTTTGACTACTTACTGCACAATTTTTTTTTATAGGTCAGCACTTGTGCCTTTATAGAAATAATATTATCAGTATTTTCGCAAAGCATGTTACTTATTAAGGCTCTCTATCTAATCCAAAGTACCACCTCGCTTTTCAAATTCGTAACCAACCCCAATTCGTACGATCTAAGATATGTGATTTAAGCTATTTAGAAGAATGAACAATCGCTACTTTTTTCACTAGTAAAACTCGAAGAAACAGGGGTTGTAGCTACATCTACGGCCGTTTTTTAATGAGCTTGAGACTATCTATTCTATAAGAATTCATAGTAGGTTTCGCCATAAAAATTGAAGAAATCGAAATTAATCCTCATCCGTGGATGATCGCTAGCGTCAAATACTCAAAAACGTTTTTGCATCCAAGATGGCTCATTTTTTTTAAATAGGTGACCTTTTATTTTTTTACAAAGTATCCTGGCGAAATCCGAGTATAAGAACGCTTATCCTCTTTTTTTATTTAAATAGCTCGCGAGTAAAAAGCTTTTCTGACGATTTTCTTTCTAGGTATACTCTATTTTATAGAAGTTCGTAGTACAAAATGCATAGAACCTTACAGGCAGAGGTCTGCCGGCCTATGGTATTTGCATATGTAGCAATGGATGTGAGAGAGAGCTGAGCGCTACTTGTAAAAACTGTATTCATAGACAACACTTATTCTCGTTCATGTAGATTCTGGCACCAGCAAGGTTACGAACGATATTATACTCTACGCATGCACACAACTCCAATCTGTTTAAACTTAAACTTGACCCGATTGTCGTCTTGTCCCTTTCGCCTCTTCCTCTCAGCAACGAGGTTGAATGTCTTTTTTTACGTTGAAGAGAAACTTCATCGCTTCCACAGACTGTCTGCGATTACCGACCTCTAAATATCGTGCTCAATGAACACGGTCGTCTTCGAAGTTGCAAACGCTTCCTGGAGCAACACGACTCCATAGATTTCCACTCTATGCGCGTGCAGGCGAAGTCTCATGTGTGAGGCCATTTCGGTGTCCTGACGATCCAGTAGATCATGGATGCTATTCGGGAGCTACGGTCTGTTCATGTACTGGAGGTCATTGCTCCAAACGCCTTACGCTGAGGTCAGAGCCCCAATAACTCGCGAGCGCCAAGGCCCCCTCACCTTCTCTTAGGCTGCTTTTGCAGACATGCTGTTGGTGCAGACGACTACCAACCTACCTAAAGCTTCGATAGGCTGTCTTGCTAGTATGGCTTGCTTCCGCCGAACACATGGCCATCGAAAGTTCGACCACTGATGTTGCTGATACTAGAACAAGTCTACGAACGCCTCAATTACACAGGCGACGGAACGGCCCGGTGGCTCATGCATTAGTGTGTGTGAATGCGCGTACATCGCCTGCGTAATTGCTAAACGTTAAATTTTAATGCCGATAGGTCGCTCGCTGTATGGTTACGCAACAAAGCACGAGGGAGGAGGAGGCTGGAGAAATTTGACAATCGAATTATAGAGCTACTCGAGTGAACATATGTTCGTTCATCCTGTGGGCGATTGAAGTTAGCCAGAAGCGCAGTTTCGTTGGCTATCCACTACTTAAGAACTGTGAAGTAATCATGTACATACTGTATGCAAACGAAGTATAGTATCAAAGACTGTTTCTAGTAAACCCTACCTCTTTTCGAGAAACCGCAGTCGATGCGATGGCACGCTATATAGGAGTTGGCTAGCCAATCGGTTTACGTCAACCAGTTCAGCAAAATTGGCGTGAGGTGTTTACGCAAGGCGTGATTCCATCTCTGAATATGGACACACATCTTCTGACGCATAAACATGCCTTAAACACATGAGTAGGATGAAGGGTTCTATTCTGCAGAGGTTGATGACTTCTTCTACTGATACGCAGCCGACGCCGACAGATTAATCTTTGGTCATAGGTAGCAGACTGAGAAACGCCCAGGAAGCATAAGTGTATGCACAACCATTGCCAGGGGGTAGGCACTGTATCCCAATATCATACCGTAGTAACTTAACCAGCTGTCTAACCCTGTAAAATATTAGCAGTTTACTAACTATGGAACGATCCAGCGCAGATGCAATACATTCATTGTCAGATGTCCTCTGAGGCACTGCACCTCTATTACTGTCCAACAATAAATAATTCAGATTTCTGTAAAACAACACAACGCATAAACTCGTATCACAAACAATCCATGATTTATTTACAATTATAGTTTGCGTTTAGTCTTGTTTCTCACCCTCAATGTTTGAATTACGTGCGCGCCACTCACATGAGCTTTTACTCGATTTGTATTTTCGTGCATAGGTCCGATCACGCAGCTGGTAATCTTCGCCTTCAGCCGATAATATAACGACCCGCGATGAAAGCCATGACGCTAACAAGGATTACCCCAGAAAGGATTGCCGCTCCAATAATTTTATAATGATCGGAAGTCTTTTCTATCTTGGGAATACCGGAGACTTTAGCGACGTTCGCGGATGGTTCAGTATTTGGCGGCGAAGCCTTCCGCGGATTTCCGCCACGCAATACATGTCTGTAAATGTTAACTGAATGCTTCTCTATTCGATACTTGTTTTTCGTTTACACATTCTAAAGGTATAATGCTGGTCATGAGATGCGGAACAGTCTTACACTGTCCACAAAGACTAATAATATTCACATTGTACAGGTCTGTCTGTAGTAGTCAGATACAAAAATTGAATTCGAAAATCGCCGCGTACCAGCTGCGTGGTTATCCACGCCTTCAACGGATAATATAACGACTCGCGATGAAGTCATGATCCCATGATTTGAGTTCAACGTACATTTTATATATATCAACATCGAGGCCATCTACAAATACAAAATCGTCCTTGCTGTACATTTAAAGTGACGTACAATTCATGGAATTCTTACCTGGGATTATACAACGCTATTGTGGACACACCAATGTCCGGGCACCCATTGGGATAAAAATGTCTGAGAATAACTTTACCTGAGCCTTATATCGTGACGGACCTCAGCAGCTTCGAGAGCACAACTCCGTGCGATTGGTTTTGCTTTCTGGATTTTCTCGGCGGTCGTTATTGGATCAGGTATTATACCATATCCATCGACGTAGAAACCGGCTTGTTGCAGTGTCGCGTCAAAGCACCACGTAGGTCGATAGGGTCGCGGGGTTGTTTCATTTTCCTGTGGTTCCGAAGTTGATTCAAACGAACGATCGACTTCTACCCTCTTGAATATGTCGCTGTTTTCTGCTTGCAAGTCCTTACTGCTCTTCTCTAACGTACATTCATTCTTCGACACATCGGAGAGCTTGCAGTGTTTTTTATTGTGCTCTTCCTCGATATCCTCACTAAGCGGTTGATTAAATATTGCTTCCACCTCAGCCGACGCATCGGGCGGGGTACTGTCGCCATGCAAGTGGTCACTGGAGCTTGCCATTGGCCTCGATGGCAGTAGGCCAACTTCGTCTTTGCTGGATTAACGCAATTTTTCGATAAGTGTATATGAAACTTATTTTGGATATGCGTCAATCCAAATCAATATTAGCTAGTCTTTGTGGTATACTGCTATTCTATATTACTGTTGAGAAAGACCATTTTCCTGAGGAAAAATGTACGTTTAGTTTGGTATGTGATGTTAGCCCCATTACCCGCGTCAACTAATTCTAATAGCTATCGCAACGTTATAGCCATAGCGTTTTTTTCTTACAGTGTATTTGAAGACGATTTTGATTTAGTGAGAAATATTTAAAATAAATGTACTTTTTTGGCGCAGGTTACGTAATATTGGAAAATCAAAACTAGCAAGCTTACCACCCGGACAGTATCGCTTAACTGCTAGGTGAAAGGTATGTGCGTTTTGTTCTCAAATGAGACCATTAATGAGTCAAAAGTGTGAGAATGACTGATGGACGAAGTCAGCCCTGAAAAGTTTCGATAGGTAACGAATTTTAATGGTACGTTTATATCTTCCTACTGATGATAAGCATTTGGCAGCAGTACAAAAAATGTTTACTACCGTGAAAAGTATTCGCAGCAAAACCATTAATTAAATTGAATACCGGTCGAATCATACTGATTGGCTTGTAATATTTTCTTAGCGTTGGTGTTTGTAAGAAGAAATTTACTGAATCAAGGGAAACATTGGATTTTTTATATTATTATGTATGGATTTCGATACTCGAAGTGTGTGTACGGAACGCGGGGTTACGTGTTTTAAATGACTTTACGCATATCAGTAAAGCAAACGTTTTCAGACAGTGAAATAAAGTACATTCTAATACAGCGGACGGCGTTCTCCTGCCAGCAGTAGTATATCCACCAAAATCCTCGTTAAGCATATGGTTTCCTTCTCCTTTTGTTTATTCCATAATTTATAGGAAAGGGCAACCATAGTGCGTAGCTACTGAATAACCACTAGGATGCGAAAACTCACGTAACGACCTAGCGAAGATAGATTTTAAATATAAACGACTCGAGGCTTCATAGACCGAACTTCAGAGTCCCGGTCCGCGAGGCCTTCGACACACATACCACTTCCGCCCTATGAGATGCTGCTCAAACTGATGCTAAAAGGTGATACTCGTACTATAGTTCTTGTGCACATATAGCGCTTGTTGAACTGGGCGCGGAACACTGTAGTTTCATTCGGATCAGGCAATTCGCAGGCGCAACCAGTTCTGAGTCGCGGTCTTTGAATCGGGTGAGAGGTAACAACTAACGCGAGGCTTCCTACTCTTCGACGGCCTAGGGTACTGCTACCCGCCCAACACGCAACCGTCCTTGGAATGAAAAGTGGACTAGTGTGGGAAAAGGCCGCTGAGTTTGGGGTACTGTCAAGGGGACTACAATTGAAACGCGAATTCATACGATTTATACCAGACGTATTTGACTGCTGAATCCGGCTCACTTTAGAAATACATTCTTTACCTAGATGTGTCTATACTTCTGTGCGTAGCATCCTTTATTGAAAACGATAAAGAGGTTAAGAAAATTATGTGCTTCGCAAATCTAAATATCATAAAACAAGTGAACATATTCTTTGAGCAAAATCCGTTCGAGTTTTACGATTCGTCAACATACGGTTTTAGTCATATACACTTTTTTTCTATGACTGGTGCTGCTACAAATTAAAGATACGAGAATACAAAAAAAAATATGACAACAATATGCCACTGTGCATTAAAAGATGGGCAAGTTCAATTGAAATTTGCACGTTTCCGTTTCAGAATAGGATCTAATCTATCCTAACATTTATCGCCACCTCTTCCGTAGTGGATGCAACAGTTGGAAGAACTCACAAGTAACTTTCCTGTTCTAACGGCCATCGATTATGTATCAAATATTTGCTTATTAGTAGTACATCACACAAACATGTTCTCCTGAACTACTATCTGCTTTAGAGGCCACTATAAATTAATTAGGAAAACTCGGCGTATTAATATAAGCAAGGACAAAAAGAACCTTATATCAATTTCCAATATTTGCTACAAATTAAACAAATGATTATTTAAAACAGAACATGCAGATTATCTTGGTAGGTTTATCCCTCCACTTATACTACTAAAATCAACGGCTACCACCAGCTGGAACTGGTCTGATCTGCATAGCGCTGCATGTCCTATGAATCTGAAGTGGAGACTTAAGGTCAGTGTAGCAGGCATATGTTCAGCATATTAGGCAATTGTAGAGGCGTTTCCTTACATTTATTGTTCGATTAAAGTTATTAATAACACTATATGAGCTAAATGTTGACGTGAATAAATATAGCCAAGTATTACAGATGTATACATTTGGTGAGTATATGATAATGTCTGATGTTTCAATTGACTTGCCCGTAGTGTTTGTAGTGCAACAACCGAATCATTATCCATATAATTTTACCTTAATGTATATAATAATAATGTATAAAATGTACGGTAATAAAGGAAGTTATCATATATGTCTACTTTTGTATGGCGAAATGTTTATTAGAATAGCTATTTGTACTAAAGCACTACTTTCCCAATAATAGTTGCTTTTCAACCAATATATTGTGAACGTCTTTCTCGATAAAAAGATGTTAAAAACTGCAGGAACTGCTTGCAGAAAAACCGATCAGTCAACCTAAATATAATTTGGAGTCTTTACCTTTCCTGAAAAACCTGTCTACCTAGCAGCATTCAGTCCGCTCTAAGGAAGTTACACAAATTTCGAGTCCATCTTCCTGGTGACTGCAACTCACTCCGATCATTATCGTTGGGGCAACACAATCAGCCCAATAAACCCTATAAGAGTAGCCGTTTCCAAATACGCTCTTGCACGATGTGTTTCTTGAAGGGCAGCGATTTGAGTCAACTTGAAGTCTTATTCCGCTTCGTGTCTGAGCCAGTCGCTTTATACTACCCTATCGTCAACCTACGTTCGCATGGCGCACGGGTGCGGATTGAACAATCGGCCAGCGCAAAGGTTTCTCTCAATAGCTTCAAAAGAAAATGAGAGAAAACAGGACTGGGTGTGCACTATAAATGAATTGTGTGCTAGACCACGAGAAAAGTAGGTGGCTGACTCGTTGGGCCTAAATCGTTGAAATTCGGCTGCAGAAGTATCATCGTAGTGAAAGCAATGCGTTACTACACATCACAAGGAGAGGAGTTTCGCACGAGTAGGGCAATTTTGTCTTTTTTTTTGTCGTTAGCTTTCTGCCGCCTTTAGGACAGTGAGCCGGTCTTCAAAAGGATTCCTTACGGAAGGCACTTTTTATATACAAAGCAGACATAGAAAGAAGGGGGAGAAACGAGTGAAAGACCCAGAGGTCGCTAGGTAATCAGCCGAGAATCATATACTCGAAAAGCACCAATCGCCCACGTACATTAGGTGGCATTTAGTTCTTTAAAGTGTCCTGGCCACGTGGACATGGCCACTGATCGCAGCTTACAGAGATGGGCAGACAGCTGCAGTTACAGCTTTTGACGACAATTGAACTGCGTATACTGCTGTGCAGTATTCATGCAGAACGCCAAAACACGTTCCGCCACACTGGAATGAACAATACTTATGTGTTAGACCATTGTCGATTTTGATCAAGTTTATGGTAAGCTACAAAGTAAAAATAGGTAGAGATACTAGCTCTGTAGGTAGTCGCTTCGAACTCGCTAATTAAAAAGCGCTTGCCTGTGGTCAAATAGGTGACATTTTTAAAACATTTCTAAAGTGAACATTGAATTGAACAGCTAATTGTCGGTAATAATAAGACAAGATTATACCCGCGCCATACGTATACATATTCACATATATGTATACATATGGCGGGGGTAATATGTATACGTATGGCGGGGGTACATATGTACATATGATAATTGGGCACTGAATGATTCACTGATTTCCGTTCAGTGACGCTACAAATAGACGACTAAAGGAGGAGAAGTGCAAGATTACACTTGTAAATCGTTCTTTCTAAGAAATACTTTAGATACTTTAAATCAGGGCAGATACGTTAGCCGAGTCGTATTCTACTACGATGTTCGAGTCTTTGTTTTCAAGGGGGTTGGTTAGTGTCACATTGTTTAATGTAATACAAAATTTCGACCGAAACAACAGTTCCGAAATCTTCATTGCATCCACAAAGTAATTGCATAAACGAGTTAATTTTTTAAATATAATATTAATTTCATCTGCGATTTGACCGTCAAACGAATTCGAAATGATGAAGACAGTAGATCAAGTTTCAGCTAAAAAGACGATCGAATTATTTTTGTCTGCTTGACAGTAATAATACAATTCATCGTGGCACTTTTATTCGTACCTAGGCAAAACAGAAAGAAGATCCTTTATAAGAACATCTTATTGGCTTGTCTTTCCGGGTATATAAGATGTAGATCTTGTCAGCTTATGCATAAAGCTTTTCACGATAAGACTAGTGGCAAGGGACAAAGTCGAACTGACAAAGCCACGAAGCCGAGCTCGCGCACTTTTCGGTTTCCGTAAATGTGCCCCGACAGAGTTCAGAGTCGGACGATGTAAGTACGCCAAGCCGAAAGTTGGCTACGAATAGTATTCTTTAGTAAAACTAGTGGCGCCATCTGTGAGCATCCAACAAAATTTCATACTCCTCTTTCCTCTGAAAAGTAAAAAGCGCCCGATTCTGGTAAAGTGTAGCTATATGGTGCTACAGATATAAGTAGTCAAATATTTTTCTACTCACTTTAACCCAACTTCAACTTCGTACTTCAGCAAACGTTTTCTCTGTTCTGTTCTTCGTTTCGACAGATTTACATACTGAAAAAATAAGGGTAAATGTCGGTCGTGACATTCATTTTAACTAATTTAATTAAAATAAATGTAATATTTCGACAATAAAAAGGCCGGAAGTGAAGCAACTTATGAGCACTATAAACTATAGTTGACTTATAAATTTACCTAACGTGATAAAAGGTGATGACATTATTTTGGCTATGGTCGTAAGTAGTAATACAACCGATGGCGTTTTTGTTTGCGTTCTACTCAGACTTTGTTAAAGGAACGCAAGACATTTCAGATACAGATGACACAAGGTTTTTCCATTTATAAGCCTGTACGTAGTTTTAATAAATAGCTTATGTCTACGAATAAATAAAAGATAGTCAAGTAAGATTGCGGATCTTTAAAAAGAAAAAAATGGTGCTATGGAATGGTTGGGTGGAATTAAACGTTGAATTCGTGAAACGAACGTGAATGTAATAAAAAAATGTCTGTATTCTATTTTGGAATCTGAACTACGACTGTAGTTTAGTTTTTTTTCAAATGATTTAATTGTTATAGAGGAAGCGAATATTTAGAATCCGTGCTCATTCAAAATTTATCACCGCTTTTAAGGACCAAAAGCGATACTTAAAACCAAAGTAATAATGTTTTCCTCAAAAAAAAAAATTGAATTAAAATTTAACTAACCCTATAAGACGATGGCTAACGAACTGTTCCAGCCAGATCGATGAAAGCATTTTTTTGTGAAACGGAATCTTTACGAACCTATTCTGTTTTCTTAACTATTTGGGCAGCCATGGTACGCGATATGGCATGACATATGAAGGATTATACAATTTACTTTAACTGATAGCGACCAAAGATTGCTATTTAATTGTCGTTATCGAAATGACAATTTGATTATATCTGCATGTAAAGCTTTAGCTCATCGAACCGCGAGTAAGAACGAATTTTTTTTTAATAAGTACCCACATAAAATGATACAAGGAATTACCAAAAAATATTCTACTAAGTAATATTTTATAAGAACTAAAAAAAAGTCTTATTTAGTTAAAAGTCTTCTTTTTTCATCCGCTTTCTTTAGCAGCGCAGCGAGAACGATACTGTATAGCTGATGTAGAACGAAAATGAAAACACCGATCACTATTTCCACACAAATAACGAAACACAATATACAAGGTTTATATCTAAATTATCTATATACAATATTAAGTTGTGCTCGAACTCGTTATTTCTGCTTGTTGGGTGTTATTGGCTGTCTTTTGCTCATCGTCGATGCATTTTTCGCCGATTGCTTCGAGGATATCGTCATATTCCATAACCTTTCTTCGTTTCGGGTTGATATAGTTGCCCATTCCAGCTGCGCGCTCGCTCTCTTCTATTGAATATGGCTCTATTTCTAACTCCTTCAGACTGTAAAGTAGTATTAAATACCGTGAACCCAACTAGTTAACTGGAGGTACGCGTAGGAACAAATACTATACCTAAATGGTATGACTATTATTTCACCGGTCAAGACCTGTTGATGATATTTTCCTGTCTTGCGTAGATACAGCTTTAAAGTCGCAATAAAGCTAATAGTAATGTGCTTAGAAGAGTAACTTTAATGTCACAGCTGAAAAATGTGGTAGACTTTTTGTTTCCCTCTTTTTTTTTTTCTAAATACAGCAATTCGTAAAAATTAAATAAGTGCATAAATTTTGTCTCAAATTAAATCTGGCCTGTCATTTTTCTGGAATCGGTAGTCATTGTAGGTCAAGTGAATAAGGATGTCTCGGTTAGTAAATGTGGGCAAAATTGACCTTGAACATAAAACTCTCACTATGCGGAAGTCAGCGAAAAAGACCTCCTTGAGGTTGGGGCAGAAGACTGCAGTTCATATGCTTCTTTCGTAGATCTTTTTGTATATGATACATGCTTCTTACCCATAATTTTATTATATCGGCCCTGTATAGTCGAGCACTTTGAAATATAATTGTATGTCATATAGAACTTAATAATAGCATAATACAATATGGTCTTAGAAAACCAGGTAAGTTGAAATGTGTTAAAAATTCGTTTTCTCTTTAAACTTAAAGCACCATTACAGAAATTATTCCTTCATTCGAAAAATTACAGTTCTTCGTTCCACAGATATTTGGTCCATTTTATTTATACCATTTATTTATATCAAGCCGAATTATATACTTTAAAGTTACTCCAGCGGAATGCAGCAAGCTAATGTCATTGTTTTATCCAGTCGTCAAAACACTTAAAATTTGGTCGTTGAGGTAGCCCTTAGATCAACTAGTAATTTTTCTTCTGTCTATTGAAATCTTTCTTTAGCCTTCAGAAAAGAAAGGAGTCGCAGGATGCCAGATTCGATGATTATAAGGGTTTGCGCAGCACACACATTTGAGTTCGTTTGCAAAAACTGCTGTGAGAGTGGTGAAATGTCATCCTATGCATTGTCGTGGTGGAGAACTTTAATTGTTCTACTGATCTCCTGCGCCGAACAGACTCGCGTAATTTCTTTGAAACTCTTAACTGTACAGAGCGGTAACCATGGGACCATGAATGAAGAAAACCGTAAGAAGTACCTTGGTTATTGTACGTGATAGCTGTCACAAACCTTTCCATGGATTCCCTAGGATGATGAGCGAGCTCGAAATATTCGAACCATTTGTTTACTTGAACGTTATTGAGTATCTGGTTTTCGTAGGGGTTCTGCAACATTAACTTTGATCGTATTTTCCACACAAATCCAAATGCACGTTCTGCTCCATTCGGGAAAAATCGCAGAATGCTCAACATAAGGGCTTTTTTTACCAGTAAACCCTATGTTGCATCAGAGCCTTATAAAATTTAACCTGTGTGTATCCATGTTCTTTTTAGCAAAACAAATGTGAATTTGGAACGAGCATCCAATAACGCGCAGATTGGAAAGATCTATTTATTTTTAAACAAGGGTTACAGTGGCTTCTTCAGGAGTGTGGAGTCTATTCCGATCCAGAATTCAATTTGAGTGTTTTTTCCTACATAGGAGACAATTTATGTGCGCTTACCGTCTTTTATGTGGTCGACTTCCCAGATGTTCTTTGAGAGCTTTATCCGAAATGAAATGCTTGGCGCAATGCACACAATAATTTTGTCCAGCTCCAGGCAGATCGTAGTCAATACGTTGACGGATCATCGAACGCACATTCTGTGGTTTTAAGTCCTCAGTGATCTCGTCAAGATCTCGTACGCGGTGTTTTGTTTTAATGGCTTTCCCTACAATCAAGATAAAGCAAAGTAAACCGCCAGTAAACACAACAACATATTGTGAGTTAGCTGAGTTATAAATATCACTGTAACCAAATGGGTTTATTGCAAGGGTTGAATTACGAACACAAAATATCTTCTGTCAGAAGGCAATAAACGACTTCGTTTCCAATAATGAAACTTTAGTCATCAAATGAAAAAACCGATCGGTAAAATCTCTGCGTCTTTATTGACTAAATTATAAAAGCAACATCGGTATGTCTTGAGTAGAAACGCGCATATGTGACTGCTGAAAACTTTCCTAATGCAGGAAATTGCATCGTTCACGATATGAAAGCAAACACATTCTGCTAACTTGTATAACGTTCAACATTTTAATTTAAGAACGGAGGAGCAAACATTATTCAAAAAACATAAGGTAAATAAACCTATGTTTTTTTAATTTTTTTTGAGGCAGGTTGTCTTGTAACTTATGTAATACAATTACATGCTTGCTAGTCGCAAGATACACTGAACAGTGCGCTTCGTTTACACACTTAATACACTAAAGCTGATTAAAAATTACGTAGAACGCAAACTTTTAATGTTCAATACAAGTTCTATGCTCAAAATCAACAATTTTCTTTATTCAAAAGACAATTGTTGGAAAAGTGCAGAGCGCATATTTTTAAAAACTTTAGGTGAACAATTTCCAGTACAGTAATAATAATAGTAATAATAATTTTCAGCATAAGCGCTTGACAGGCAAATAACTGTCTCACACTAATCTACTAGCTCACAGAGCTTATTTAGAAAGTGTGACTAATCGAATATTTTTCGCTCTACCTCCACAGCCGTATCCTTTATTAGCCTTCTTGCGGCGATATCCCCCTGCCATTTGGTCAGACCTTACCGCACTACTCTGGTCAAACCAAATACAAAAAATACACTGCACTACACTGTACGAGCCTCAAATGTACCAAATCAAATAAATATCGCAGAATTTCCTAAAGTAGAGCACTAACGTCCATTTTAATTGCGTTCTTTCGGCTGTGTTGCTGGTCGACAGTGGGGTTATTGGCGAAAGGGCTCGAATGTTTACTTTACTGCTAGCACGTGGCCCGGTCTCTCGATACGAGCAACGGCGGTCGCGATCTACAGTTGTTGGCTAAGACAAAGATACCAGACGCGAAAAAACTTGGTCTTTTGCATAAGATGAAAGTGTATGTTTGCGAAACATAATTTAGAATCTTAGCATCGCCGTTATAAGTCGTATTATCGTAGCGCCTACGTAGGCTGGTGCACGTGTGTAGTCGAATCGAAAAATGGTCTATTGTTTTTGTGTAGCACGTTAGCAGCTGTCGGACAGTAAAAATTACTGAGAACATGTATTTTTATTTTGGCGACTATTGAAAATTTGCGTCGAAATCATATAGAATACGACGAGAATAGATGGCTGGAGATGGCATTTATGAGCACTGAAAAACAGAGGCGACCAAAAAGCCATAAATACATTGCTATTAATTAAAGGCAAGAAAAACTGTATTCCAGGCTTCATGATCAAACATAAATCGGATGTTCTAATAAATTATCAGATACTAGAGTAACGAGCATAAATTTTAGTATAGTATCCGACTACTACTACAAACTACACAGTTTGATATTTTTGCACTAACAAAGCAAGATACGATATTTCATTGTTTAGTGTCGAAAATATGACTGCGAAAGAAAAATTACAACTTAACCACTTCCTTGCATGTTTTTGCCAACAGAGGTCGATTAAAACTACTTAGGAACCCTTGTCTAATGAAATTCTACAATGCGTCGCGGTATGTACTTAAATTAGATGATAATAAACTCGAATATATATACTCACACCAATAAAAAAGATGGGTAAGTTTGACTACATCTATTCTCTGAGATCCACAAAAATGCGCGTATTCCATATGGTTAACTAGAACCTGATATCTGTATGTTTTGCACAGAGGCATTCGTTATAACAAACGAATAAGCAAAATTGGCCTTCATAGACTAAGGTAGAGGTCAATTAGGTTTCCTTAATGGCGCGCTGTCACAAATGATAAATTGCGGCCATTCACGAAGTCTATCCACAAAAAATAAAACGTTCCATGCGGGCTCACTGGACAGCATTTAGCAAACAATATTTGTTGTCGTATCGCGTCGCTATGTCGAATACGCCTGCACGACGAACAGACAATAGTTGATTGACTTTCATCATATTCATACATCAAACCGCATTTCCACAGGCGTAACGTTGCCAATTGGTCTCATCAATTGATGATCATTTTTGTAGGATAAAAGCCGACCAATCGACCTATTGTTAGTCTTATTTTGATCTCGTATCATACTCTAGAGCCAGACTTCGAACTTCGCTTCTAACGTATTTTGTTCGCGCTGTTTTCTTCTAATTTTAATGAAACACCAGAGATTCGTCTGTTGGCTCAACATTGTATCTCAACGAATTCAAAGCAGAAAATGACAAATTCCCAGTTACTAATAGCCTTGTAATGTATTGAATAAGGTTCATTCATTGCATAAATGTGCTTGTTTTTCGTTTTGCATTTGCTATGGGACCTGTAGAGCAGGCGGTAACTCATTAGGTGATCCTCAATTTTCGAACTCATCGTCGTTTATAGCAATGAAGGCCTGGATAATGGCTTGCTTTGCGTTCAAATATGTATGTGAGATCTCGGAGTTTCTCGGCCTAGTTTATGTTAGTATTTTCCAATAGCCTTAAATATAATATGAATAAAGACTTACAACCTTTATATAAGATTTGCAATAATTTGAGTCATGTTTAGTGTAATGAAAATCATTCTACGTTTTTACTACACTTTATTGCTTGTTTGTATGGGCTTAAAAATGAATTAAAGAAAAATCAATGAAACGTTACCTGATTTAAATATTGCGTTGACACTATTTTTGAGCTTTACGCCAGTCAATTCGTTCATTACAATTATTTTCTGATATGCACCAAGTATTGCTTGTTAAGTTAATTTAGGTTATTTACTTCAGTTTACCTGTGTTAAGCAGTCCATTCTTTTGCTCACAGGAAGGAATCAGCCGACTTTACGGACACGCTTTCCCGTCATTCCCTTTTTATTAGAAATACGTTCAAGTGTCGAGAAGGTCTACTTTAAGCGAATAACACTGTGAGGTTCTAGCGGATTATGATTTAGATGTGGACGATTGCCCTTACGCGTATACTCCACGGCGCTCTATCTAACACAATGAACAAAAAGCTATATTACCCATAGTACTCGTTGTGCGACGTCCGTGAAGGACTGAGTCGTGTTTTAATCGCAGAAATAACTACGGTAAAATACAAAGTACGCTCGGCAGCCGATGGAATTCGGGATGACGAAGCAGAAAGCTTCTGTCAGCCCGTTATCATGTGTATCGTTGAGATAAACAGACATGCATTCAATCATCAAGCGCTCTGTTGCGTAGCGCTGTACCTCGGAAAAATTCAAGCCCATTCGAACGTCGCTAAGCTATTGAATGAAATGATCGGCGCATCTCGTAACTGGACAGTGACGCACAGGTGGCTAGCAGATAATTCAAATACTACTCTTCTATTGGAGAAAACAGGCGACTGACAGTTAGTGTCGTCCCGTGTCCGCAAGCGAGGAAAAAATCATTCCCCGCAAACAGGCAGCGATTTTTTTCCATCAGCTGTTAGAAATGGTTGCAATGCAATACGAAATCGGGAAAGCTAAAACTATAATAACTGGTACCTTAATGCATTAGGTGCTTGGAGAACGCGATTGTTAACAGAAGCTTAAGGTCAACTTATTGGATAGATTTAAAGGTTCAGACCCTGTTACATACACGCAAGTCTACATTTTGCACGTTGTTTACAAACACATTCTATAAAATATATTATTCAGCTAACTTGGCTTTTTGAGGTTAATTTTACTTAGGGAATAGCTACAAGTGCATTAAATCCACTTGCGCTTTAATCGCTGCAGTAGCTTGTCCTTTTATTACAAATGTGTTTTCAGTTCATTCGTTTTACAAATCAGAGCTCGTATATTAAAGAAAGGCCTTGAATCACCTGAAGGCGCACCTGGAGCGTGAAAAATTTTTTTTACAGATTCAATCCACAGGTGTAAGCTGGGTTGCTCTATTATCTCCGGTGTTTGTCCACGTAGGCTTCATACTTAGTTACATAGTGCCGTAGACGATGTGAAATTAATGGTGATCCTTGTAGTTTTTACGGTTGGAACGATTACTCATGTATATTAAATCAATATGAATACTACCTGATACAGTGAATTAGCGATGTAGTGATATCGCCCCTCATTTATGAATTCCGTTGGATTCCAAACCGTCCCTATACTACGAAATGAAATTATAAATTAAAATACCCTAGTTTCTTGAATAGCTAAATTGGTTTTTAGTAGATTTTCCGTCCAATCATGTAATCGATAATATGTATTTTAATTGTTTTGAGGATTCAGATTTTTCCGATAAGAAAGCTCTATTCCGCACATGACAGCTTCGAAAAATCTCGGGTTCAAGCTAAACGAATGATAACTTTTCCAAGGCTTTTTTTTTGGCTAAATTTTGTCGCCCACAGAGGTCTGGCTGTACTGTCGGCGACAGTACCTGTAGCGGTTGGCTTCAATATATGCCTATCGTAAACTATAGACTAATATATACGCATACGCAACATGTGTGTTAATAAGGCCGGGTTATCAAAGGGCAGCTACGCTGTCAATAAGACGTGACAACCACTTGATTACGCAATTACTTTTTACGCGAATCTCAATTATCATGTAAACACCGAACTGACGCTTCTTCAGAGCATATAATTTTTTAACAATAAACTAGTGCTAAGGAAACCAGTTCAAACTATGTAGACCTATCAACGAGGACACCTCTGGTTAACGTAACGTCGTCACATTTATTGTCGCCATAGCAAATACTTGTCTATGTGAATCTATTTCACACAGAATGGTTTAAACAGCAGGCCAAAAGTGCAAACATGTATGAAACATTTGGGACAACGTCAAAACAAGGGAGCGCAGAATTTCTAGGTATGAACGAGATCCAGGCTATACTTTTTACGGTTCTAATTTAAGCTTCATTTAAACCTATATGGATTCTATATTCTATAATATATGTATTGATGTTAACCACCGCTAGGATCCATTGACATCGAGTACACACCTTGCACGAACCGCGCGCCTTTCATCACAGAAACACTTTGTTGTTTGGATCACATTATCGACTGTTTTCAATGCCATCAAATATTTTTGGCATGAATTTACTTAACAAGCATTAGAAATAACACACATTGTTTTCGTTTAGTGTTTTTTTTTCATGATAACACTTATTTTTATTAAAATAATATGTACATGCTGTTACTTCCTTAATCACCTTGTTCTGGTCTCAGCGTTCTCGTGTATGCGTACTTCTACAGCTTTCACCGTACCGTTTATTTAATCAACTGAACCAAATCAACCAGGAACACGAAATCTTTAGGTGTTCGCATGTGTTATGCCTGGCTTCCGTGCCGTTTTCTTTGTGTCCACATAAATGGAATATCGAACTGAACCAAATAAATATCAAACTGACACCCTCCTTACCGATCATAGATATTGTTTTCTGATATCACCTACTCATTGGTAAAGATCGCGTATTTTCTTACAATTTTTTCTTTTCCCCTTTTCCATATGAATTTTTAACCTGCTAAAAATTGAAAACATACTAGAGTTCACCGTGGGTATCTTGCTTCGTTACTGAGGGCTCAGGCTCATTCAAACTGGGTAATTTGGTCTTATCGGCGCCTTCCTTTACATCGACTACCTTATCCCCCTGGGGCAATATCTCCTCCAGGATCTTCTGATCCGCGGATATATCATCACCGGCAACTGAGTCGTCATCAGGTGCCTGTTCATCGGCTAACTTTTGCTTGTCCTTTTCTTCCATCCTTAGCTTTTTCGACGGGGCGTAACGGGCTTTATTCATGAGGTACTTTGTTTCTCGGTCGAGCACCTGAATCTTCTCAAAGATAGACCTCATCGATAAGACGGGCGTTTCATGCAGTTGAGTCTTAGCCTGAATCGTCTTATGTTCGATTAACCATTCTTTGCTCTCTTTGATTACCTTAGCTAGTGTTTCGAGTTCAACAGCTGTAAATACACTTTCATCTTCAGGGATCTTTTCTAATTCTTCTAGGTAATCTGAGGATAGTTTCTGAAGTCTTTCAAGCGATTCAATAGCTTGTGGACGTTCGCGGTGCTCGTTGACTCGGTCAATGATTTCTTTAGTGATTGCGGCGAGCGAGGCAAGTTTGCCTTTCAGAGTCTCTGTATCGGCGCCATCAGATTCGTACTCAAGCCATTCGTGTTCCTTGGTTAGTGCCTCTAAAATCTTTATTCGCTCGTCTTCTTTTGAAGCTTGTTTGTATTCGTCTGTTGATAGCTTATGCTTGGTCTCATGGATAAATGCTTCAAGGGCGTTTCTTGCTTTGTCAAGAGCCAAGCGTGCCTTGTCCTGGTTTTCGAGTTCCTGGAGCTTGTTAATCGATGGCTCAAGTTTGTCGTCACTAATACTTGGCATATCCAACGATATTTGTTTTCTCTCAAGGGGTTCCCTAACTTCAACTTTTTTGCCAGTCTTCTTTGTATCCTTGTCCGCCTCCTTTTTCTCCTCGGTTTTACTCTGACTTTCAGATTTCTCCTCAGACTTTTCGTCGGATTTTTTTCCCTCAGGTTTATCTTCTCCAGTTTTCTTCTCTTCCTTGGTCCTTTCCTGATATTTTGGGCCTTCCCTTGTTATTTCAGCTTCTTCTTTGCTCTTGCTTGGCTCTTTGCTTGTTTCTTCCTTTGAGTCCTTAGAGCCTTCCACAAGAGGGGTTTCCTTTGTCTCGCCAGCATCTCCACCGCCGAACAACTTGCCGAGAGTGGATCCAATTTTACTTAGGGTACTTTCCTCCTCTTCGATAGCCTCTTTCTCAAACAAAGTTTCGGCTTGCTCAATGTGGAACATGCCTGAATCATCCATTTTCATCTGGATTCGAACCCCTTTGGGCTCAACCTCAGTACTGATGTGCTTTTTTAATGCATCCGGTACCCCCTTGATCAGAACCGATGAAATATTTGAGGTCTTACCCATCATAATCTGATCGTTTTTGGAGAGAAAGGTAAGATCACCGTAATTGACATAGACGTAGAAATCGTTCTGCATTCTCGCAGCCAGGATGGTTTTCTTCTTAGGAAATTCGTTGTTTCTATTGAAGACCACTCTTTGGATATTTTTGGTACCGTCACGGCTAAATTCAACTTGAATGGGGTAAAGGTTAGCATCCTTTGTAACAAATGTCTTCACCTTGAAACCCTTCGAAAGATACGCAGCCTGATAAGCACCACCCATGGCCGCCGCCTCGTCAGCGTTAATGCTTTTACCTAGCCCTTTTCCTTGAAGGTACTCTTCAAGGATCATCTGAATTTTGGGAATACGCGTGTTTCCTCCAACAACGATCACCTGACTGATTTCCTCGAGTGATATTTGAGAGCTAACCAGGGCATCGTCTATGGGTTGAGTGACGCGAGCAAACAAATCCGCGCACATGTCTTCAAACTCCTGTCGAGTGACTTGGACCTTAAGGTCGATATCTTCCATTACATTTTCCACCTGGGCATTAATCTCAGTATTGGCACTCAAAATTTTTTTAACACGTTCAGCTTCCTTGTACAATTTGAACACAGCTCTTGGATTTTCGCGAACCTTCTTCGACGCTTGTTTTAGTTCATCAAACTTATTGGCCAAGTGCTCACCTAGACGAAGCTTAAATTCTAAACCTCCAAGGTTACGATTGAAACCCACCCCTCTGACAGTCATGATCGGTGCCGTCTCGACATAACCGCGATCCTTCGTTTTTCCCACCTGAAACGAGACAACTGTAGCCGTCGTGCTCCCTGTGCCCATATCATAGAAGAGTATATTCGTAGGAGTCGCGTTGAATTCATTCCGTCGGAAAACGCCATAGTTGAGGGCGACAGCTGTATTGTCGTTGATCAACTGCAACAGGTTGATGCCGGCAATCTTCGCGGCACGACTTAGAGCTCTACGTTCTGCTTGGTTGAAGAAAGGAGGCACAGTGATCACTGCATCCTTGATTGGTTGTCCTGTCGTGGTTTGAGCAATGGCCTGAGCTTGTTTAAGCATCATGGCTACGAGTTCCTCGACAGTGTACGTCATTCCCTCAGGATGAGCGAACAAAACTCCTTTGGTGTTTTCATCTGCACTTATCTTGTGAAAAGGGAATTTCTTAGAGTAATCTTTCACCACTGGATGATCAATCGGCTTCCCCAAAAGATCTAAGAAGTTTGAGAATGCTTTAGACGGAAACTTAATCTGTGTAGTTAAAGCCATATCGCCAAATTGGCGTTCGCCATCTCTGAATGCCACAACCACAGGCGTTTTTCGTTGTGAGTCACGATTAAGACAGATTTCCATAGGCATGCCTGGTGACACGACAGCAATCTTCATCCATTCCGACCCGAGATCAACAGACATCACGGCTATCGAGAGAGTACCCTCAAGCCCTGCTAGGGCAAGCAGCAATCCTATCAGGCACTTTTGGTGCCCCATCGCACAGCTAGACGCACTTCACAGCTTCAGTACTTAAAACAATAAAAGCACATACTTCCCCACACAGCACAGCAAAACACTAAACAGCGGCAATCGAGGCGAACAGCGCTGTCGACTGACTCCAGGCAGGCAGACCGTTCGAAAAGTCCTAGCGCCGGCAGACAATTCATCCCTTAGACGATGGCGCTAATCAACGGGAGACAAAATCTGCTGATTTATCGAAGCTTTTCTTTCAATGTCGCTACAAATCTACGTGCTGTATTTCATGTTACCTTAAAAAAAATTTATTTTACATGTTTGCACCCTAATTCGTAAAACTGAGCAGAATAAATACGAAATAAATACCGAGAAACACGATAGGTGTTCTTTCGCCGGTCTGACGTCATCCGGGTCTCCTCTCCCCTTGTCTATGGACCTGCAGACCGATCGCGTTGGACCAATCAGCACCCAACACATAGAAGCTTTGCATGGACATTTACCGACGCTTCGGTCGGTGTTTATCCTCATTGGAACAATCTGGAAGTGCAACGTAGCCAGCTTTGCGTCAGCCGTTTTGCGCAGTTGTTGTCGAGGCGGAGACAAGTTAGGTGCTCCGAGGAAGAACTAGTTAGCGCAACTTCTTGTGGAGAAGTGTCGTGCGTTGTGCTATAAACACCGAGTTGACTTTAGGATGTCAGTGTTGTCTGTCGTCAATTACAACTACAAAACAGACATGCTTGACACAGTAATTCGTGATCCGGGCCTCCAGAGCACCATGGATCAGAAGCCATGTCGCAAACGACAACGGCTCGATCACCTCACAGCAGAAGAGAAACTGCTGAGACGCAAAATGAAAAATCGCGCAGCCGCACAGAGTGCTCGTGACAGAAAGAAGGCGCATATGGACGAGCTCGAAGTAGAGGTTGACCAGCTCCGGTTGGACAAAGACAAGTTGGCTACGGAGAACGATCGACTTCGTGAAATCATTGCTGAACAACGAGAACAGATTGACAAGCTGCGCCAGCGATTAGCCACCGTCGAGACCGGAGGGGTCCAGCAGATTGTGCAGAACGCAGTGGAAGAAATTACGGTGACAGATAATTCCCTTGAGCATGCATTGCCCATTAGTGGACCTCAGCCGAAGGACCAGGTATCGATGACACCGTTATTATTTCTCCTGTGGCCTCACCTGCTACTCCTCCTGTACTTGATGGGAACGGAAGTGAGACGGAGAACGTCGATGAAGTTGATGACGGTAAACCCGAAGAGCGTCACCTATCCATATTCGACTATAAAGACATCGTTGATCTTCTGCTCAACCAGCCTGAATATGGAAGCGAACCAAACCGACCGCCTATTATCGAGGTGGACTCCGCACCGCTTGAAAACCTAGATCACATCTATCACAAGCAGCTTCAACGCGAAACCGGTGTAATCCCTAGCAAAGCGGACAAAGCTATAGCGGTTACCGAAGAGCTTCTTGTCCCTCTGGATAATCTTAATGATTCGAGACCTCCATCGTCAATGTCATTAACATGCCCGCGATCTCCATTCTCGAGTGCCTGTTCCTCTGGCTACGAGTCCGATCAGAAAGAGTCGGATTCGACGTTTTCAGACCACAGCAGCAGTGACGATTCGGATGTGATGGCTTGGGAAAATAGCTTTTCTGACCTCTTCCCTGACTTGGTCTAATTGGCAAGATCCCAATGTAATTGTCAATTCGTTCTTTCTCGAAAGTGAATTGACACTTCGAAATTGTACAAAAGCTTGTTTAGCGTAAATTATTAGTTAGCTACGATTAGGATTATAGAATATTATTACTATAGATATCTACGTACCCTATGTATACTTAGGTAGAATGGAGGTTGTCCTGCATTCACAACAAAAATGCATGTCGATTATCATTTGGTCATTAGGACATACGACGATGGACGTGGACCTATGTTTCATCATCATCATTATTATTACTATTATACAGAGTGGTTTTTCGGCGTTGTACAGCCGGTGTTCATGAAATAAAGAAGCGCTTGTGTACATTGTAAACCCTAATCTATTTATTAGTACGTTAGTTATTAAAGTGTCATTACCCGCTACGGTGATTTGTGGAATTCAGTCATGAATCCATTAGTATATATGAAATACAGGTCAGGTTACGTTTCGCCCCACGAACTACAGAATATATACGGTTCCGCGAACAATAGCTGTAGTTGGGCCCCTACCGTCATTTTGTTAACAATCAGCGGGCATACTGCTAGCGCACGCCCACCCAACATATCACAACAGGAAACCCGAAATTGGAGTCGCGTCACTCGTCTCTTTTAACAGTGACAAGAACTCACCGTATTTACCGGTTTTATTTTCAAAGAAAACAATTGGTAAATTATCAATGTAACGAACAGTATAGTCATGAATGCTGAAAATACTAAAGGGTATCATTGATTGAACTGGTATGTTTATGAATTTTCGTTTTAACTGGGTACATATATATGTGGATAGCGGCCATATGGATACTACCCTTCAACTGCATCTCCGATAGTAACCCAACGGCGCAGATCGCTGTCGATCATGTGGAGTACTACCATTGTATCAGCCGGTCTCACTGCAAGTCACCAGACAGGAAGGCAGCCTCCAGTTTTCACAGCCGCGCCGCAATAGGGGCCGAAGCAGGTCACGGACAAAGAAGTATGGGCGCGGCCCGTTTGGAGCCATTGCTAACATTTTGTTTTACGGTTGGTTTATGTGAACTGGCTAAAAGTCAAAGGTGAAGCCGGCTTTCCTATATATACATATAACCACCTATGTGTGCATTCTGACCTCCATTTGCTATATATGTTACAATAAGCGAGATAAGCTTGCCCTCCTCCACATTTAAATTACAACGCCTTTTTGTCGTTGAACTCGTATTATAGGAGAGCCAATTGAGCATAGTTATCTTGATTGATACCTTTACGGTGAAACTGCGAATTGCGAGCTATATGAGATACATCTGGCCAACAAAACCGCATAAATAATATATTACTAAGGGTTATTTCGAATGTCGTAACAACATACTGAAAGTGTTTCTAAGTTCTAAGTATTTAAAAGATGTGGACAAGAAAAAATGTCATTCATTCCACAAATGTTCAGGCAGATGCAATTCGGTCCCTGCACTCCGTGCTGTATTTAACTATGTACTATCGAGTTATATATATACGAGAGAAACTTCCCCTATAACACGCTACTAATATACCTAAACTCTACACTTCATTTATTGTATCGTTTGTTTATTGCTAATTAAGGTACAAAAAATTGAAATAATAGGTTTCTGATTAGATTATTAGATCACTTACGAAGATTCTCATTTACCTTAAATTGAAGATTGTATTTAATGATTGGTGAAAAATGTGTAATATATGCTATACTATGACTCAAAAAAATGTAATTTCATACAAGATTGTTACTGTACTCTACTGTTAAGCACTATAATCTAATCATTTCTAGAATCGTTTTTTAAATTCTTTAAGATCTCCTTTTTTTCCTTAAGTATTTAGAAAAATTAGAACGTTGTTAATTTGTACAAGGAAACTATATTTTTCCTTATTTAGATTTCACTCTATGTTTAGGCGATGATGATTTATTATTATGAAAGGTGTAGAGTTTTTGATATAGGAGCACCGTGATATAGCAAAAGGTTATTGTGACAATACTGTACAGAAATTATTGCAATAGAAAATTCTAAAACCCCAAAGCTTAATTACGGAGTTGATAACGATGAAACAAGAACAACGAAATAACGACGGCAGTATTTGGCTAACGTTTACATGGTCCTACTTCAGGATTTCACTCCCTTGAAGCAGCAGAGGCCCCTGTTTAAAGTCTCGCTAATGACACAAATAATCCTACATAATATGTGTGAATCGAAATATTGTGTTTTATATCAAGCATATCTGCGTATATTGTTTGCACGCATAATTAGGCAAAAGACGAATCGAAAATAATGAGTTGAATATTGTGTGCTTTCAAACTAATCGACTAACTACTAGTCAACGAGGCTAACTCGATACTAGCTTAGCTGATTGCTTACCTGAAAACGCCTAAGATAATTAGGACTGCTACACCTGATTTATTTTTAGAGGACGCTCAAGATGAGTCCTTAATATCAGATCTAATGTCACAGATATTTACCCAAACAAGAATTTTGCTCGAGAAGAAAAACAACATTCGTCAACTATGAAGGTTTCAGAACTACAATGAAAAACGCTAAAAATTACTATTAGATTTGTCTCACATCACATGTTCAACTCACATTTTCTTTTTACATCAAAACGCCCGTTACGACGAACGCTATACTAGTTAGACTTAAATGCTTCGAATTTTACGTTTGATTCCCCCTGTTTGGTATTCCATTGTTCCTTTCCATTCCACGGTTGACTCTCAGAACGAAGTAAAATTACTCCAAATTAAGTTTCCCTCAAGTTTAGCACGCAAACATGCTATAATAAAACAACAAGCACACAACAACGTAAGCATCGTTATTATTCAGAAATAGAAAACATCTAGGTAAATTCTTAAAGTTAAACGAGCATATTGTTGAGAGTAGTGGCTTTCCAATCTGGGTAAGTCACCGCTGCTCAGGTCGGCCATCGAATATGTGGGTATCTGTTAACGTGGCCAAATAACAAAGACTACGTTGTCATAATCACTGTCCTGTCAAGTCGGTATGGATATAGATAAATATGGGTTTGTCCATGTGCACCAGCAACTTTCAGTGACAGATCGATTTAACCATCGTTACAACAACCTCGTTCTCGCAAGTGAACAGAAGTAATCCCAGGTGTGCGGGAATTACTGCAGCTCAGCACGGGCTGATGCAATTCCCATCTATGTTGCGAGATAACCGTCAGCCGTAGCTGCACTCGAATAGGGTTATCTAAAATATACAAAGTGCATAGTCTCAAATGCATATAATGCTCTATTTTAACTACGTATACGGTATTATATTATTGCTCGCAAATTAGTTATCTACGCGACAAAAAGTATCGTCAAAAAAAAAGTTCACATCTTGTCGGACAGTTATTTAACTTATAAGCGAAAACATTTAACAAGGAAGAGTACTCATATCTGGGTAAGTCTGGTAGTCAGAAAGTGACTAAAACAAATCGGCCAGCCCAGAGATTTATAGAGGTATATAATAATTTGGAAATTTTGGGGTTCCACCTTGTGTTCAAGCTGAAGTCCTCCAGTGCCCGCATATCGAACAGGAATCCAGCGCATGTAACCGGCTGAATTCTTATAGACTGTTATTGTGATAGGACTAAGCGTGTTGATAAAGATCCGTCGCAAAGTATTTGTGCCTAAATGCCTTCGTTCGATCATCAACTGATTTTTGTTTAACGCTGTGGTTGGATGGCTTCCTCGCTCTAAAGCCAGTTTAATCCCAAGTTTTAGACTTCTTCGCAGCACCATAAGGCCTTCAACTTATCCCGTTTGCCGAACGGACCTCGATGCGGCGAAGACGGTCTTTTTTCTAAGGCAGTGGATTTATTGTTTTACGGACAGGACTTATTATTCGCGATCCGCTATTCACTCGCAACAATATCAACGCAACCTTCTTTTTTAAAATACAGAAGATCGCTGGCAGTCAACGCGAGTTCTAGACGTTGCATTTTCGGATCAAATCATTCATGGGCGGGCGAGCCGATCTGGTACTTTATAGGGTTAGGCACATCATTAAATTCTTCTGGGTTGGCCCCCAACCTAGAGAGGAGCTTGATCATTGCCCGGAAGCTGATTTCCGATTTGGTCTATCAGGAAGTTTTATTTACTCAGTGACGAGCAAAAGTAGCATTTGTTATCATTTTATAATTTCGTACGCTTCGAAATGTCCACAAAATGTATTCCTAAAATTTCTGCTGAAAGCCAAGCTGCACACGTTTATCGAATATCAATATAAGCGTTCAAGCAGCTGTCGTCTATTTCGATCATAAGATAGATATTGCAAAATTGTACCAGCTGCACACACACCCTAAAGCAGGTTATGTAGGTGGATTTGTCTCAATGTGGCTCATTTAGATAACCTGTAAGTATCTTTAAGAACCTGAGCTGCTTTAAAAGGAAATAGATGAACCATTTGCTTATCCAACAACAAACGATTTAGACATTGGTCCAAAATGAGAACCCAATGACACTTAGTATACCAAAAGGTATCTTGCGAATGAAGTGACAGCGCATCAATAATCGATCTTCACTAAAAGCGATTTTCAAAATCTTCTTATTAACCTAATTGAAAAGCAACGACAGCAAGGATGATATTTTGTCTAAATTTGATGCTTTTTATGAAAACCAAGAGTTGAATCTTTGGTTTCGGCTTATTACTGCTTCTACTGTTTAATAAGTCAGAGTTACCTTTTAGTGCATAAGTAAATGTTATATCAAGATGCCCTGCTGCTCCAAGTACTTTTGTAGTGATGCCGAAGTGAATTCCGCTCCAATAATCATTGATTACATTGCCAAATGGAGACCGACACTTAACGTTAAAGTCTCGATACGAGAATAACGTGATAGGTTGACCTATTCTAGCCGTATACAATGAGACAAACCAGCGATGATACGCGGATGATGGATGATAGCACCTTCGTCATGTAATACGTCTCCATATATCTGTCGTAAAATATCTATCTAGTTATTTCACCATTTCGAGTCTGTTAGAATCGAAATAGTTTCGTGAATATGACTAACTGGAACTAATGAGGAGTTTCATCTTATTTTTCCAGTGTTCATTCATCTGTAACTAAAAACAAAAATTCTCAGTAGTATTTCCAAGGGGTGTTACTACTGAACGGTAGCCCATTGCTGGCATGCAAAGGTAAAATATTTATAGTACAGGTATAAAAGCTTTACCGAAACTAAAGCAATGACCCCCTTATGAACCAGAGAGAAGATAAAACATGCACAATACGAATATTATGCAACGATGTTTACACAGACATTGACGTCTCCGTTCTGAGTAGGAAATATATAGCGGCAGCTGAAATTCATTACCGGTTTTCTGTAACACAACTACA